ACACACCCTGAATGTATGTTTTGTAACTAAAATACGAGATTGTGACTTACAAATGTACCTTCATAATTATGAACTTGTGTGATTTGTGATTTGTATGTGATCGTGACCTAAATTATGGATTCACTATTTCATTGTGATTGTGACCAATACACCACCACTACCATCTGCAACCATACAAATTTCATCACATACGGCCACTACACTAATCCAGAAAACCTCTTTCTTTCACACGGACACGTACAAAAAATTGCAAAGGCTCCCCTCATAGATTCCCCAAACTTGTGCCACTCACCACCACCAAACCCTGGACGACATCAATTCATCAACTACACCAATAGAAGCCGGATGGAATCATGGTGGCAAGCAATTATGACTTGAATCTCTAGATTTGCAGCCACAAAATTGAGTAGTGACGAGTAGGAGTGGAGTCACAATGGCAAGCAATTATGATTTGCAACGACGAGTGAGACAGTGGATTGGGTGTTTATAGGTGAAGATGGGAGTGGTGGTATATCTGTGATTTGGAGAAGAAATAGATAAAAGGAAGTAGATGGGGTGGCAGACTACGACGGGCAAATGGTGGGGTTGGGTATTTATAGGTGGTGGCGGGTGGCGATGTTACGAGTGGATGTGAATATGTGACTCGAGAAAAATGGATAATAGGATAGTTAGGGTGATGTGAGGTGGTGTGGGGTGTCGTGTATACTTGAATTTTGAAAATGTAAACTTCATATCTAATTTTTGAAATGGTATATTAGAATTCAAGAATGGGTGTAATTTCCTTAAAAAATCACCATCCCGCTAAATTCACACGGTACATGCCTCAATCGTTTCAAAAATCAAATCAATGGAATAATATTTATTAGATCACTTAAATGGGAAAATCAAAATGAAAATTTGTTAAAGAAATAAAAATAAGAGGAAACAAATTTATTTTCATTTTTTATGTTTTTAATATTTAATAAGGGCGCAAATATCATTTTTTTTTTAAAAAAAATTAACTTTTTAACTGTCAAAGAAACAAATTTTGTTAGTCGAGGTCCCAATCTAATAGGATCGAATACATTTGAAAGTCAAAATCTCAAATTTGAAAGTTGGTAGAGTTGATTCCACGTTTATGAACGATTGGAGAGCTCAACCTTTTGAAAAATGATTTATTAAGTAGTAACGTAAAACATCAAATAATTGGTGAATAAATTCATAGTAAGTCCTAAGAATTAAATGATTCACCAATTAATTGATATGACATGTTATCGTTGCTTATGAGTTATGTAGTGTTGCTTAGTAGATTATTTTTCGTTTTTCAATCAACATGGTATTTCTACATGTTATATTAATGTTTGATTAAACTTATAATATTCACTTATAAGTGAATTATAAAAGGCAAATAAGTGGATATAAAAATATTATTAAATCGTATTGCTTCTAAGTTACGCTTAAGGGGTGCCTAGGATGCTTAGCCAAATCCTCAAGTTGCCCCGTAAAAGGAAGTGTAAGTACATTGAATTTATTTGTAAGAAATAAAATATTTAATAGATAAAAAGATAAAATAATTCAATGAATGATCAGGGCAAGTGGACATGGCATGTTTGGTACGGCTCAAAATCCAATTAAAATTGAAAATATAGCCGTTATTGGGTCTCACTCATCTAATAAAAGTCAACAATAATAGCTAATTTTTCAATTTTAATCTGATTTTAATCTCTACCAAACACCCTCAGATAATAGTACTATGGACTATGGTGAATGTTCCAAAATGGTCTTATTACAATACTAATAGTTGAAACTAGCATTGCTTGCAAACTAGTTTAGAAGGTCTTAAATATGGACTCATGATTGCCAAACGATACACCCATTCCTTGTCTTCATTGTTTACTATGAAAGTTGACATTTCATGGCAATAGTTGTGACCTTCTAACTCGGCGACGATCATCCATGACATTAGTTCAATAGCTTTGAGCAGTTACAAGTTAAGACTTTGTTCTCGTCCAAGATTTTACAATGTACTATATATTCATATCGTGGGTTCTATTTAAATAATACGATAAAACAGAGAGGAAAATTTTTAATGTATAACAAATATAGAATTACGCTCCTAATAACAATAATCACTTTCGTGATTGGTTGAAATTCATTGAAATAATGGTTAAGCAATTCTCAACAAGATCATTGGGTAAGTTCAAATGTGGATTTGAAAAGTCCAGCTCAAGTCTTCGAGGGCCACGTGACTACTCTAAAGAGAAGACGATTAAATAACATTTAATACATTAATTAATGAACGTGAAATCTATTATTAAAAGTTGAAACAAAATCTTGTAGTGATAGAAACAAAGTCTTTGTCCAAATATTTAATTGTCAATTTGGTCTGTCCACTTGTTCCTTGCTTCCAAGCTATACGTCCACATTATGTCAACCCTTATTTTGTTAGATATTTTCGATGGTTCGATTTAGCCATTCGCCATTCTCAACTACCACCATTGTAATGAGTCTAATTATACAATACGAATACAACTTTATTTTCTTCAAAGTCACGAAAGTGGTAAGTAAATTTATTGCACTATGTGAAATTTACCTTCTCGTGATGATTAAAACTAATCGTGTAAGCTTTAAATACATCGTTTTTTTATTTTCTAATGTTGTCACGCTACACATGCTTTTCGTGCACTTTTTGCTTTTGAGAAGAAATGACTCGGTTTGATTGAAAGCAATTATATTCTCCTATATTTAGAATAGCAACAGAGGCCCCTAACTTTGACTTGTGTTGCATCTTCATCTCAACTTTTTCATTTTAATAGCATTTAAGTCCCCATTGGACAATTATTTTTTCCTCCCCCCTCATTTTATAGAGTCTTACTAGGAGTACATCACCCCTTACACAAAGGGGTGACATAATGGTCAAGTGACGCCTCCTCATTGGAATGGAGCCTCGGCATCCCTCAAATGAGGAGGCGCCACTTGGCCATTATATCACCCCTTGTGTAAGGGGTGATGTACAAAAAGCATAATTCCATTTTATAACAACTACAATTATTGCCGTCACCACCAATCACTTTGACGTCAGCTTGAGAAGAATATATTTTTTCATCGATTTTTTATCTATTTGAGAATAAGGGTAAACCTGTCTTTTTAACAAAACTTTGACCTCTTAACTAAAGATTGAGGTAAACACTATGACTCAAGTGCTCAAAACAACAGATTGAAGTTGTAAAATACTCCACTTTGAAAAATGGGGACCAAGACAAAATATGAATCAAAGGTTGGGGATCTCCACTGCTATTTTCCCTTAATAATTGAAAGAACTGTGTTAAGTGCTTTATACAGGTCACCGACCCTATCCACTGACAAGGTATAAATAATTGCACATAAGTAATTGGATAGTACAGAAAATTTTTTGTCAGAAATTTTACACCCACTCACATGTGTGGGATCACCGAAATAAAAAATAAAAAATAAATCCACCTTTGACCTCCCTTGCACTGTGTGTATCTGGTTTTCTCTGTGAAACCATGCTAGCATGGAATTGGCCTCCCTTTCTTCTACTTTCTGTAGAAAAACTTCCTAGAAAAAAAAAAAGTCCTCGACTCAAATAACTTCTTGTGAATCCACAACTTTTCAACCACACATGTTATTAATTTATATCATAATTTGCTAAAAAATTGATTTTAATTCTCATCAAACAAGGCTAAATGTGCAGATCCCACATAAACATTGACTCAAAGAAGTTAAATGAAGTTCTCACCAACTTTTATACGGTGAAGCTCGGTGTACATTCCATTTTACATCTTTTTTTAACAGAATGCCACATTTGATAGTTTCAAAAAAAAATTCTTTCTTTTCATCTAAAATACATTTTTGCTGATACATTCTTCTGTCAAAAAAGTGGTAAAACTTAGTCGTTGTTTGGCCCCTATTAAAAAAAATTCTTTCTTAATTTTAATCATATATTCTCTAAATAAAATAATATTACACACAAATCTAAAACTTTTCATTATTTTTCTACCACACATTATCTCATCAATCACAATTCCAAAATGGTGGCCAAACAATGTCTTTATGTACAAGTGGCAAAATCTATTTTTATAACCCAATTTTCCAACAACTATGAGCTGGAGTCATTGGGATGGCAGATACGAATAACTAACAAGGGTATCCTCAGTTGAGACTGTGATGTATTTTAAAAATCCTTTTAAATTTAGATTTCCTCAATTGAAATTTTAATAAGTTTAAAATCCATCAAAATCTAGGTGTCCTCAAGTGAGATTTTAATGAATTTTAACGAAATCCTTTAAAATTTAGGCATCCTCGATAAGATTTCATTAATAGAAGGATTTTAAAAGATTTAGATGAATTTCAAACTTAAAAATACATATAATCAAATTTTTTGAAATTTCATCATATTCGATGAAATTCTTATGGAATTTGTGGAAATCTATTCAAATCCACGAAATTCATTAGGATTTATAATATCTTAAAATCCATCAAAATCTTAGTTGATGATACCCAGTAAGTCTCAGTTATAGAGGCGACCTAGCAGTATAAAATGTAATAGAATTCACAGAGCAAACGGTAAAAGGAAATAATTTTAAATATAAAAGATCCTGTGCAGAATGATGAAACTTACCAGATGCTCAAATGTAATTTCTTAATAAGAATAAATTGCTTCAGCTTTTTCTCTTCAATAAAGACACATCGATCGAAATTTCCTCGTACCCCATACTCATATATTTATATATTTCTTCAATAAAGACACATCGATCGAAATTTCCTCGTATCCCACACTCGTATATTTATATATTACATAAGTGATTCAACCGAACCTGTAAACAGCGTTAGTTTGTATTAAATTCCAATTGTCAATCAAAGTCAAGAGTATAACAGCTATATATATACATTGGGAGAAGGTGAGAAGTAACGCTATTTTTATTTCCTGTTAAGTATTGAATAGATTCAAATATAGTTCTATTCCAATGGGGATTTTCCCACCATGTTCTTCATCAGAGATGTTAGAGAAATTACTCGGAACTGTGTGTGGAAAGACTCGAGAGGAACCCAAGATTGAGGAAAGGAAGATTAGAGGGACAGTGCTGCTAAGGAAAAAGAATGTTATGGAGATGACTGATGTTGGTGCTTCGTTTCTTGATCGAGTTCATGAAATTTTCGGAAAAGGAGTCTCATTGCAGCTCATCAGTGCTTCTCATGCTGATCCAGGTTATTTATTCCACTGGCCTCCTTCTCTTGAACAGCAGTAAAAAATTGCTTCCTCCCTTCTTTAATCCGTTTTGTCCCTCTTTGTGTGGCTATACCTGCAATAGAATTTCAGATATAATTGAACAGGGATTTACTTCAGATGTGTGTTTTGGTATGAAAGAGCTTATAACAGATTCTAGTCATACTTACCAGAGATCCCGTGTAAATACATGAACTGAATTTACCTAAATGGATGGAGTAGATTCTTATTCCATTACCTCTTAATTGATAAAGAGTATATTCTTATATCAACGAAATTCTGAGAACGCCTTATGAAAGCACGGGTTAATTTTTGTGGATCTTTCACTATGAAATTAACATGCAACAAAATTGCCAATAAAGTATTCTCCCCGTTCTAAGAACGTAGTAAGAAAACTGGAAATCAAGAATTAAAATATTACAAACTTTTGGCTTGCTTGAATATGTTCTACATAGACTTTATATGTATTCTGATTTCCCTGTAGTCCAGTTCAAGAGAATGCATACGTGAACAATTAATTGAAAATTATTACTTTTTCCATCACCATCTAAGGGCTTAATAAGCAAAATATTCATGTGATATTTAATGTTATCAAACTGACGGTTCAATCTTACAGCAAATGGATCGAGAGGGAAACTGGGAAAAGAAGCATACTTGGAGCATTGGGTTTCAAAGATCACTTCGCTGTCTGCCAAGGATGATGCTATTTTCAATATTACATTTGACTGGGACGAGACAATGGGAGTCCCTGGTGCTTTCATTATCAGAAACCATCACCATAGCCAGTTTTACCTCAAGAATGTTACTTTAGAAGGTGTTCCTGGACATGTTCAGCTCCAATTTGTCTGCAATTCTTGGATTTATCCGGCACACCGTTATAAATACGACCGTGTCTTCTTCGCATACAAGGTATTTCTATCTTCCATAGAAAAATGACTAAATGTAATTAGTAATTTTAAAATTTTAGAAAATAAAATTGTTATAACAAGCAAGCTCTCTTAATCATCCAATAAAGTTTGCTCATTCCGAGATTGAACAAGACAACTTAATAACTGTACGTATTATCAGACATACCTTCCATGTAATACACCGGAACCACTGCGCGCATATAGGGAAGATGAACTCAGGAATCTTCGCGGAGATGGTTCTGGCATGCTGAAGGAGTGGGACAGAGTTTATGACTATGCACTCTATAATGACTTGGGAAGTCCTGAAAAAGGACCAGAATATGCACGTCCTGTGCTTGGTAATTCTAAGGAGTTCCCATACCCTCGTAGAGGAAGAACAGGCCGTCAACCTAATAAGAAAGGTCAGTAAAAACCCTTGATACGTTTTTACTTGAAAGATACTGAGAGGTCATAATTTCAAATATTTAGCACCAAGTTTTATTTCTGCAGGGCAGGAATTAACTTTTCTGAGTTTCATTTACAGATCCAAACTTGGAAAGTCGGTTGCCACTACTGAGTTTGAATATTTATGTTCCACGAGATGAGCGGTTCAGTCACATTAAGTTTTCAGATTTCATCGATTATTCTCTTAAATCCCTGGTTCAGGTATTGATCCCAGAGATCGGAGCTGCATTTGACGAGACTATCAATGAGTTCGACAAGTTCGAAGACATACATAAGTTATACGAAGGAGGGATCAAGCTTCCAGATGGTCATGCCCTAAAAAATACAAGGGAATGCCTTCCATGGGAGTCGTTCAAGAATGTCCTTCATTTAGATGGTGAACGACCACTTCAATTCCCAACACCTGATATAATCAAAAGTATGATATGATTTCTATCTAAAAAACTTCGTTTAAGATTTTGATGCATTTTTACCTCATTACAAAAATGAGCTTTCTATGGAATCACATGCAGATGATAAAACAGCATGGAGAACAGATGAAGAATTCGGCCGAGAAATGCTAGCCGGAGTGAACCCTGTTATTATTCGACGCCTCCAGGTAAAAAAATTAAAAAAAATTCATACTCTATTCTATTCTTACCCTTGAAACTACTATTTTTCTCATTGAGCATATATTTACAATTTTTCTACCTAACAGGAATTTCCACCTGCTAGCAAGCTAGATCCCAAAGTATATGGCAATCAAAATAGTTCAATGACAAGGGACCAGATTGAGAAAAACATGAACGGGTTAACTGTCGAAGAAGTATATCATTCCTTCACTAATCATTTTCTAATTCATACAAAAAAAAAAAAAATAAGAGGAGAAAAATGAAAAAGAAGAGTGCTTGAATTCATGAAATATTTCACTTCAATTAATTCATCTATTACTTTGTGTGAGCACAGGCAATTGCAGATAACAAGCTTTTCATATTGGATTATCATGATGTGCTGATACCGCACCTTAGACGGATTAACACAACGACCACAAAGACATATGCAAGTCGAACTGTCCTTTTGCTACAAGATAATGGGACATTGAAGCCACTGGCAATTGAACTGAGCAGAGAACAACCAGATGAAAATTTACAAGATCCCATCAGCCAAGTATTTACTCCATCCGAGCACGGAATTGAAAACTCAAAATGGCAGCTGGCTAAAGCTTATGCTGCTGTAAATGATTCAGGTTATCATCAGCTTGTTAGCCACTGGTACGTATATGTGTGAAAGAAGATGAGCTAATTATATTTTAGAAGCTTAGCCAAGCTGTAATGAATATGGTACTTGCAATCTCGATATGCAGGTTGAACACCCATGCAGTGATAGAGCCATTTGTGATTGCAACAAACAGAAGATTGAGCGTGCTTCACCCAATATACAAGCTACTGCAACCCCATTACCGTGATACAATGAACATAAATGCCTTAGCTCGGCAGACACTCATCAATGCAGGCGGAATACTTGAAAGAACAGTCTTTCCAGCAAGATATGCCATGGAAATGTCTGCCGTTATTTATAAGAACTGGAACTTTACAGAGCAGGCACTTCCCAAGGATCTGATCAAAAGGTCAGTCAGAAAGTTTTGAATAGCAATCATTCTAAATGATTTTGGTTCATATCTATATAGTGTAAAAGTAATGAACACAGAAAATACGCAGAGGGTATACATAATTTAAATGACTATTCTGTCTTTTGAATTAGAAAGAGAAAAATACTGTTTATAGGGTTACACACAACCATTTAAATAAAGTAACAATTTCTCTATCGTATACAATGAAAAGGAAAGGTTTAAATTAGTCTTTCTAGAATCTGGATTGTACTAAAGTAGATAAACGGGAAGTCAATTGTTCTCACAACACCGCTAACCTTCAACTACTTTACTATTCAGAGGAGTGGCAGTTATAGACCCGAGCCAGCGCCATGGTCTAAGACTTCTCATAGAGGACTATCCCTTTGCTGTTGATGGGCTTGAAATTTGGTCGGCAATTAAAGATTGGGTGGATGACTACTGCTCCATCTATTACGACAAAGATGACATGATCCAAGGTGATAAGGAACTTCAATCATGGTGGACGGAGCTTCGTGAAGAAGGGCATGGAGACTTAAAAGACGAGCCGTGGTGGCATAAAATGCAGACAAAGGATGAACTTGTTCAGACATGCACAATAATCATATGGGTAGCTTCAGCTCTTCACGCAGCCGTCAATTTCGGACAATATCCTTATGCTGGCTACCTTCCTAATCGCCCAACTGTAAGCCGCCGATTCATGCCCGAGCCGGACACTCCTGAGCATGCTGAGCTTGAGACAGACCCGGATTTGTCATTCTTGAAAACAATTACTGCCCAGTTCCAAACCCTCCTTGGCGTGTCTCTAATAGAGATACTCTCCCAGCATTCAACAGAAGAGGTTTACCTTGGACAAAGAGAGACTAGTGAGTGGCCTTCGGATAAAGAAAAAGAGGCATTTGCCAGATTTAGCACCAAACTGGTCAAAATTGAAAACGAAATAATAGAGAGGAATAATGACCAGAGATTAAGGAATCGAGTCGGGCCTGTAAATATGCCTTATACCTTGTTATATCCCAACACCTCAGATTACAGTAAAAAAGGAGGACTTACTGGCAAGGGAATTCCCAACAGTGTCTCAATCTGATGTCTAGAGGATTTTCAAATCCCTTAAATCAGAAGTTTTACAGCTTGAATAAATTACTACAGACAAAATTTTGTATTATCCATTCATTGAAAATAAGATGGATAATGCTTGGAGTACAGGAACAATCTTACAGCAACGCTACAGGATTTTAAAAACTGATTACGTGGCACTTTCCAAAAATGAAAAAACCAATTGACCGGCTGAAAATTAGGAAAGTGGGAAAGCGAGGGAAAACACTTCCATTACCTCCATTTTCAGCCCACAATAACTTTCTCCCACACTTTCACACCTCGCCGTGCGAAAACCTGCCGTTCTTCATCCCGGCTCCAAATCCGACGTACTTTCAGAAGGTAAACAGAAATATTGACTGGCTGAAAATATTCATCCCTATTTTCGGGCTCTTCATCCCCATTTTCGGCTTGTAAAAGTAAATACATCCTCCCCATTTTCAGCCGGTAAACAGAAATATCTTCCGGCATTTTCGGTTGTGAAAGAAACGTTCTTTATGAGTTAGAATCTCGTGTAATGGTGTAATTAGTGAGTTTGATTTTGTTGGGTTCTGTTCAATTTTGTTCAACTATGTCTATGAGTTCGGTTTTGTTCGAGTTTGTCCATTTCTGTGTTCTTTTTTTTTTCCAGTTTTCTTCATGTTTGAGTTCGATTTTGTTGGATCAATATTTGAATGAATCTCGTGCAACGGTGTAATTAGTAAGTTTGATGTTGGGGTTCTGTTCAATTTTGTTCAATGATGAGTTCGATTTGTTCAAAGCGTCCATTTCTGAGTTCTGTTGTTTCAGTTTTGATCGTATTCGCGTTCGGTTTTGTTGGATCCTAATTTGAATGACTCTGGGAATGAGGTTTGTAATGTTGAGTTCGGTTTTGTAGTTGGAACCAAATTTGAATGAATATGGGAATGATGTGTGTAATGTTGCCAATTATGAACTCGATTTTGTTCAGTTGTCCATTTCTGAGTTATGTTGGTTCTGTTTTGTTCATATCTGTGTTCTGTTAATGAAGCAGCAAATGTTGCAGCGAATGAGGAAGCCGATGATTTGCCTAGAATGTTTGACTCAATTGCTCGAATGGCCAACAAACGAGACGTTGAGATTTCAGTTAACGTGACAATTCGTAAGGGACCAGGAGGTGCGGAGTAGTATGGAAGAAGAAATTGTTGTTGGCTAGCATGTTTAGTAGTTAGTTGTTGAATAGGTATTTGTATTGTGTTTGTTTTGTACATGGTTCGTTTAGTCAATGTTGCACTTCACTCGTGTATCTACTTGTACTGATGGCTGGTAGTCAATGTTGCTCTATTATTGACGGTAAAATTTTGTTTGATACTAGTGTCCCTTCAGCTATCAATGTTATTTGTTCAAGGGTTTGGTATCTTCATTTGCACATACAGTAAATGGATTCTCATGGTGTGTATGATCATCTACTTAAATTAAATCTCTAAGTAGAGTTCTATCTTCAAATGATATTGGCTATAAATAATACTTCTTAGTAAACCATAACAGGTACCACAAATACTAGGAACGAAGATACACCAACAATTTACTCTGCCATCCAGTTTTTCCTTTTATAGTTTCATTGTATCCTTTCGCATGATTAAAAATCCAACCTGTAAGTGGGGTTTTGGATATCTTGTCAAAAACCTCAGGAGATCAAAACAATTTTGACATACATAAGATAAACATCTATACTAACAAAACCATCCAAAAACAACTATCAATATAGCAAAAGAGTTCACCAACAGTTATACAATAATAATGAACTAACAATAACAGGAATATTTCTACTTTCCAGACTTGCTTTACTTTGAGTGGAAGCCAGACCAGCAACTGGATAAGAAGCCACTCTTTTTTATTAGAACTGGTGTTGACAAACTTGAACAAAACCGAACTCATAGTTGAACAAAATTGAACAGAACCCAACAAAATCAAACTCACTAATTACACCGTTACATGAGATTCTAACTCATAAAGAACGTTTCTTTCGCAACCGAAAATGCCAGGATATATTTCCGGTTACCGGCAGAAAATGGGGAGGAACTATTTACTTTTACAAGCCGAAAATGGGGATGAAGAGCCTGAAAATAGGGATGAATATTTTCAGCCGGTCAATATTTCTGTTTATCTTCTGAAAGTATGCCGGATTCGTAGCCGGGATGAAGAACAGCAGGTTTTCGCACGGCTGAGGTGTGAAAGTGTGGGAGAAAGTTATTGTGGGCTGAAAATGGAGGTAATGGAGGTGTTTTCCCTCGCTTTCCCACTTTCCTAATTTTCAGCCGGTCAATTGGTTTTTTTATTTTTGGAAAGTGCCACGTAATCAGTTTTTAAAATCCTGTAACGTTGCTGTAAGATTGTTCCTGTACTCCAAGCATTATCCCTTAAAATTTTGGGTGTGTTGAAAAATCATGTGAAAGATTTTTGGGAAGTAAAAAATACTGTGTAAAATGAAAAAAGTGACACAATGTCACTTTTTTATGACCCTGTTTGGGAGGAATTAAATTTTTCTACAGTAAATCAATTTTCATTTTCAACCATATATTCTTCAATAAAATAATATTTTCTATCATACCAATAATTTTTTCTTCTTTTTCAACTACACATTTCGCATCATATCACTATTCAAAATCAATTTTTCCTCCAAAAATCTCTCCCACACAAGCTTAAAAATTGTCACTTTTTTACTTTTTAAAAAAAATTGACATAAACTCAAAAAAAGTGACATAATTCAAAAAAAGTGACACGCTCAAAAAGATGACAAATACTTAAAAAAGTGACAAAACACTAAT